AGAAGGTCAGTTCTGTAAGAATAAAATTAAAAATTTCTTTACACAGCAAATTCCTATCAATGAAACATTTTTCATTATGCATTAGCAAATTAAAAACTTCCATATTTCTACTTGTAAAATTTGCTTTGAATTTTATGTGTGATAAGACAAAGGCCTTAAATGTCGAGTACTGGATGCATTAACACAAAAAAGGCTTCAAAGAAAACAGATGATGGTTTGATAAATTTAAGAGGAGAGTGTTATAAGGTTTGCAAAGATTAAAAGTTCAGTCGCTAGAGCAACTGCAACATTCACTGCCAAATTCCCTGATTTAATTATTTCTGAGTGTTACCTCAAGTTAACAAGTTTTTTGCTACAGTTGGATTGGTCATTTTTGAAGAAAAGATCGAAAAAGGAGACTTTACAGTAAAAGAGAATGCAATGCCTGATCACAAGCTCATGAAAGACCATCCCACTCTTATTTTCTAAGGCAAGGTAGAATTTTAAAGTATCCGTATTCATATGTAATATCAAAAATCCACAAACCTTTAAGAAATACAAGATGCAGACAACCGAGGAAACAATAGTGGGGGTGGGGATCTAACAGCAAGACTTAGGCAAGCTCTTGTTCAGTGAGTGGATCAATGAGAATTTAGATTCTGTAGTGAAGAAATACTTCGTAGAAATAATCCAGTGTCATAGCTAAAGGAGACAGTCTGTCTCAGATAGTTAGTTATTTGCAGAAAGAAAAAGGAAGTGACATTTTTTCCAATAGACATACTTTTACAGACATTAATTGTGGATCATTGGGATAGAAAGGGAAAACTGATGATAACTGAAGAAACACAAGGCAAGGAATGCCTTACAAATTTGAATTATTTTAAAATTTGATAGAGTATTCGAAGAAATCATAATGAGATTTCAATAGATTTGTGTTTTTTCACGCCTTCTTCTGCTTCTTCTTCTTAATTTTTTCTGCAATTTTAGGATAAAATCATCTAATGTGCTCTTATGTATTTCATAAAGTTACCAAAAAAGACTTTTAACCTGTTTAAAATTTCACTGTTTTTGTTGTTAATGTGAAGGTTGACTGACTCTTCACATGGAGGTTGACTGAGAATTCCTTTTTTTAAAATGTGTATTTGTGATTACATCCTGCATGAATAATTCATAAATGAATGAAAGAAAAATCCTTTTATACAATTAGTCAATTTTTTTACATTTAATATACAAAATATAATCTAATGTTCTCAAAATTTTGATTTCTTATAGATATTTATCAATTAAATAATTAACATAGGCAACTTTGTGAATACATTGTGATAGATTATTAGTCTAAATCTAACACGATAAAAGCTAAAAGCAATTATCATTTAAAATATATAACATTAGTTAAAAAAGTTTTTTAATTTGAAAAATAATTTTGTTTTGGGCCAAATACTTGTAAAGAAATCAGTGGCTGAATTATATAAGTAGTGTCTAATAAATTATTAAAAAAAAAAATTTTTAAGATTTTTTTCTTAGTTTCTTAGTTAAGAAAAAACTCTGTTATTATTAGTCCAAAGGGGCTTTGTCCCTGAAGGAATATTGTTTTCATTTTGCTATTTTGCATTGAAAATGTTAAACTGCTGTATCACTTTTCAAGTCATTGCCATCAAATACTATTGCCCTGTATTATATTTGAAGAAATTAAATAGTGAAGAATCTACATAAATATATGTATGTTTTGCTCATTGTGATAAAACAACAGTACCTAGAGCCATCCAATTTTGAATGACGTAATCCTACTGCGAATATGATAATCTGAAAGCCCAAATTTAAAATATGGAATTTGTTTTATTATTCATTTCATATTTTGTAAAACTTTAACGAATTTTGATTAACAAACTCAAGGATTTCAAAGCGAGCGATGGCAACGTTGTACAGAAAAAAAAAAAAAAAAAAAAACATTTTTATCTCCAGACCCTGAGATTGCATATCTGAAATTCTAAAGATATGCTCAATTAAAAATTATTTTTCAATATTGCTGTTGAACTCAATTTTACGTTTTAAGTGCGAAGAACTTGATATTTTTGATATTTAATAAATAAAGGTAACACATAAAATGTTTAAAAAACACCCCTTTAGACATAATTTAAAATCTGAAACCTTTCAGATTTTTTTATTGTTATTATTACTATAAGTTAATATTTAAAATATAGTATCTGAGCAAACATTGGATATTCATTAAAATCTTAAACATAGACCATTAATTTTACTTCCCTATAATCTTATTAATCTATATTTTTGCAAATAATAACAGTTATATATTAAATTAAAAAATTTCTTCATTATTTAATGATTAAAAGTCCTGCTTCAAGAATGCAGTAACAAATGTAAAATTATTAAATAATTCTCATTATTATCATTTTTTAAAGATCTATATGTATCATTAAAGTGTGGCAAAACTTAAGGCTGTCAAATTTTTATTTTCATGATTATGAATAATGCAGAACTTACAATTAAATTTTTAATGGTTATAAAATTTTTTCTTAGTTATATGTTTTGAAAAATCTATTTATTAATACATAACTTCTGAAATTTTGGAAAATTTATTTAATATACAATTTGCGATATATTAAATTAGAGCAATAACTTTGTGTTTGCCATAGATTTAGTCAAACACGAGGTTGTTGCTTTGCTAATTTTATGTTTTACTTTAGCATGTTTCTCTTCTGCTTTGAATTTCAGAAATGTTTAATTTTATAACTAAACACTTCAGAAAAAATGTACGTTTACTGGAATCATTCTTTTGAAAAAACAGAAATACATAGATAGTTCTTATTAATTATAATTCTTAATTTAATTATTGCAATTAAATTGTTTATTAATTTAATAAAATCAAATATATGACTAAATTGTAGACTTAAAATAATCATGCATTCATATGGTAAATAGAATTCTCTCTTTCACTGAAAACATTGTTTCTTATGATAGTTTTTTCCCATCATGAAATGGAAATTTGCCATTAAGAACTATAAATTTCAATAAAAAATTATAAAATTTTGAAATAAAAATTATAAAATTACATAGTAACTAATCAATAACACTCACGAATGAGAATCTGAAACAGAAACTCATTGTCTTATTTTTTTGGGGAAAAAAAGATTGTGGAAAATATAAAATACAGAAATTAAATTTTGTTCCTGCTTCTAACTTTGTGTTTTTAAAACTTAGAACTGAAAAAAGAAATAAATAAATAAATAATTTCATGTATTTTAAATATTATAACGAATTCATTGGCTGCTTTCAAAGTAAAAGTCATGTATAATATTTATCTTTTCCCAATCAGACTGTTTCTCAAGTGAAAGGAAAAATGAAATGAAATATTAACAACCTCAAAATGAAAGATATAATGGAAATTTAAACTGTATTTTATAGTGTCTATTGAAATTTCATGTTTATAACTTTATGAAAGTGAATATATTATCATACTAGTTTTCTAAAGTATTTATTAAATATTGTATTCTAAATATTGCATGCAAAACTATTAAGAATATTAAATTTATTAAGTTCAAATATTCTTTCAGCATTTTAAAGATTTTTTTTTTTTTTTTTTTTTAATATTTCAAAAAGTTTTGTGCATCTGTTCCAACTCTCTCATCTTTCAAGAAGCAAACCTTTCGTAACATTCTCCTGAAATTTAATCATATAACTGTATCCTTCAGTCCTGCCAGAGAATGCAAAATAGAATTTTAGGGATGTAAAAAAGAGTAGTTTGTATTCTTTAATCATTGAGTTATATGATTACAGAAAAATCCATTATAACTGAATTTACTTAAATGAATGGCGGAGAAAATAATATTGATTCAAAGAGTCTAAAAAATCAATTATGTCCAATTTCTGAAATGAACTTTTCTATTATTTTTACTTTCAAAAGTTAATATATGTGTAAATAATAGCCCGTTGATAACTATCACTGAAAGTAAGCCATAAACATACCTCGATATTGAACATCATCTCTCCAATCCCAGCACAAAAGTCCAAAGTAGTCTGAAACTGTGAATTATTGCCTGAGGAAGATTATGTGGCATTCTATAAACCAACTGATCTCAATTTCTTATGTGCAAAAATAGTGATCTGTGAGATATTTGAGTTGACTTGTATACAACAACCTTTATGGAATAATGGCTCATAAACATTGCATTAAAAATAAAAAATAAAATAAAAAAATAAAAGATTCCTCATTAGTTTAAAGATCACGGATGTACAAGGTATTCTGTTCATAATCACAGCCCCTCCAAGCTTCTGTAATGTTTTGAGATCCTTATTTGTACCATATCTGACAAAATACTTGCTCTTTTACTCATATCCCCTTCCAGGGTGTGCCTATACTGCAGATATGCAAATATTTAGAAATCTGCATTTGTCTTGGTAAAAATATAAAAGTTCATTAAGTTCTTAACAGTGAAAATTTCTCGCATAGAAAAAAAAGGTACCCAGAATTGCTTAGTTTAGATAAATGCAATTCATGCACTTTGTATGAGTAATTACTTTTATAAGGGGTTAAGAAACATAGAAAAAAGTTAAATAAACAAAATATGTAAATAAAAATTCAGCAATTATGGCATGATTTATGTGGAACTACTATTCCTACCTTCATGCATATAATTGAATATTTTAAACGTCTGTGCTGAATTGAATATTTTAAACATTTGTGCTGATAGTTTAAACTTTTAATTTAACTCTGATATGTATTTGATAAATCATAATTTCTGTAATTTAAGCAATGCATGACATTTCAATCTGTGCTCCAGAATCAAAAGTATGATTAACTGTAGTATCAAAAATTAATTTCTAGACTCTCAAGCTCTTATTAATTTTCTTTCAGTTTTAAAGAAAACAATATAAGAAAATATTTTAGAAATACCATTTTCAAAAGTACCTTTAAAATGTTCTTTTTAAAAAAAGTATCGTAAAATGTTCTTTTAATTTTTTAAATGTCAGTTTATATGTAGTAATTTTTTAAAACCAATTTTCAGGGCTTTAGAACTAGCTGCAAAACATGGAAATCATGTTGACACAGTTTTAGCATTTAGAAAAAAGTATTTGGAATCATTAGATGTGGCAGAAGATAAACCAAACTTTTTACAGTTAATGAAAGATGTAAGCAGTATTGTATTTTTTAAATGAATGTGTTGTATTAAGTTCTAATTATTACATATGATTAAATACACCTTTTTACTTCCTTGTATTAACTAAGGGAAGCATTGTAATTGCAAAAAATTTCAATTATCACATTTCAAGAGAAATATATATTTTTTGGTCAAATTATCAGGTTCAATGTTCCATCTAACCTTCTTCGGGAACATGCAAGGACCTGACTCGGAACAGAGAGCTTACTAAAGCTATGTTCAAAACTGTGGGAAGTAGACAGGATACACAAGAAGGGTATACAAAACCCTTTATTTTTCTCTATTTACAATAACTTCCGTACTTCGGAATACACAGACCCGCTACTTGGGGTCTAACGTAAAAATATAAAAATAGAACTAAACTCTAATTTAACTTTAAAATAATAAACGTGGAAGATTGGCCTTATATTAACAGGAAGCCGTATGTAGTACAGAGAACTGTGAACACTACAATACGTTTAAAATTTATCAAGAGGATTAAAAATTGGAGGATTAAACCTCTGCTGCACTGGAAGGCGGCAACTGCATGGGCGTTTTCGTGGTTTTCCCCAACTAGCCAGCGCTAAAACTTCTAAGGTAAGCGGCCTGCTTCGACTCACTGCTTCCTCTCTCTCGCTTGGCAAAAAGCCACAACTTAAATACTTGGCGCTCGCCAGACAAACTTTGCATAAATACATTAACGCTTATAATTCTGGCCGGAAGTAGAAAATAAGAAGTGATAGTAAAGATTAAAAATAAAATAAACGTTAGTAAAACTTAAGATCCTTACAAAATAACAAAATCTAACTTTTAATGCAGTCTGCTTGTTCCTATACTCATATTTGGGAAAAATTTATACCCAGTATGAAAAAATAAAAATTCAAGAAGTGTGACTCCTGTGTAACAAAAATTGACCAAGATATTTAATTTCAAAATTTGCAATTTTTTATGTTATTTTCAACTTGCTTTGATAGCTCGTGTAATTAAGTTTGAAAAATTTGAGAAAATAAGTTTAAAAGAAATGCAGCAAACTATGTGTATAATTTAATAGACCATACAAAGAAGTCACACAGTGTCCACATCATCCAATCCTTAAGACCTGACCTCAGGTGATACTTTTAAGGAGAGGAAAGTGTTGATTCATGAAAAGAACGATATATGTGTTACATACATTACTTAATAATAATTTTGGTGATAGTTACTGAACCAGTTCCATAGCTGCTAAACAATTAGAACACTTGCCATAAAAACTGGTTGTCACTTGGATGTACCTTAAAAGCTTGCTTATTCAGAAATCAAAGAAATGCTGTATGCCAGATGTTTGAAAATTCTGAACAAATGAGCCTATGAAAATGTCCCAAAATCAATGTCAGATGTGAAAAAAAAAAAAAAAAAAAAATCTTAATGGATTACAAAGTCCTATGGAGCATCAAAGATCCCGCCAGACTTGCACTAATCATCCTTCCAGATGTCTGAAGAAATAGATCTCAATTTATTTGTTAGATAATCGATAGATAAAAAACAAATTATAACTCTAGTATGTAAAACAACTTATATTGTTTATCATAATTTTTCATGTTGCATCACCATTGTTTATCCATTTGCAAATAAAATCACATGTGCCCATTAAGGTAATTTTCCTTAATGCCAGGATCCCATAACTTTGAAAGTACTTCCCTGTATGCTGTTCCATAGAAAGCAAGTCTGAAATTTTAGTCATTTTTTCAAAATGCAAAGGAAAAACAGGTAAATAGAAACTAACCTGCATCTGTTTTTACTAATATTAAAAGCCTTATCAAGAATCAATCAAGTTTATATAAAATTATGGTGAAGATCTTATGATTGTTTGTAATGTCATGCTCATCCATTACTGGTGTTAAATCACACTATCTGGCATCATTTTCTGTTTTTCAAAAATGGTTCAACAGGAAGTATGTTTATAAGTTTTTTTGTTACAAAGACAAATTCTTGTAACCGTATGTTGGATACAATGGTGGAGGGATATGCAGTATCTTCTGAAAAGAACTATATTATCACATTTTAGATGTTATGAGTGAGATTTTGAGTGGTAGTCTTATTTGTGCTTTCCGAGTTTCTCATTTGCATAATTTTTTGCTAAAAAAAATTCTAAATATTCTAGTTACTTGAGGATGTTAGTTTAATGTTTGATGATTGCGCTTTTACGGTAAGATTGGGCAAGGTACACATATAGCATATTTAACTCTGTAAACTTCTGTTTTTTCTGTCATATGTGGTGGATCATATGGTACTTAGCAGTTGCTGTCTGCACATACCACAGCTACCAACTACAAAAAATTAAAAACGGTTTTAGCACTATACTGCACTGCCATTTCAAAAGTGGAAAATGGGAAGTCAAAGTAAACATGCATTATAATGCATAATTTAAATTACAGAACTATTTATAATATGATTCTTATGTAAAATACATTAATATTTAAGTAAATAGGCTAACATTTTAATTTTGTAATATTTTACACTTTTATACCAGTCATTACATTATCTAAGAAAATCTTCAATAGTGAAAGCTTTTATTAATGAAGTACTTTTAAATATGATGAAAATAAAATTAATAGTTAATGTACATACTATTATATGGATAAACTTCATAATATACAATATATTAATTAAAAATTAAATCAAGTACAAATATCAATTAATTAAATATTGTTTAAATCCTAATATAAAGTTCTGCTGACTATCACTAGGGATGGGAAATACAATTTGCACATTTTTTTTTTTTTTTTTTTTTTTTTTTAAGTTTCATTAATTTAATAAATTTTATTTATTGCTGGAAACATTTCTCTCAAATAGTTTTCCTTAATTAAAGATAAAAATTAAAAAACTGGAGACTTACTGATCTACCAGAAGACTGGGAGGTGTGCTGAAAAACTGGAAGAGTTGCAGCCATTGAGCATAACCTAAAATCCTAGACAACTGATGTTTGTGGGATGAAGATACTGACAGTTTGTTGATCTGAAAATCCTCTCAAATGATTGACTATAGCAGGATGTAGCAGTAGAATGACTTTTCTTGGGTATTCTCAGTTAAAATAGGGATGGAGTTTAGGGAAATAAACCTCATGTTCTTTGCTTAGTTCAGAAATACAATTCATTATATAGTAGGTAATACAGTCAAAAGTCGTTAATCCGGACTCGTCGGGACTTCGGCGATTCCGGATTATCGATTTTTCCGGATTATAGATCATCAGTTTAAATCTCGTAAGATGGCATGCAGAAATTCTAAAATTAAAAATATGAAACCGTAATTTATGAAATAAAGAACAATTATGATCTAAAGGGTATCAAAATTTGCAAAAAGAAAAAGCTTAATATTTATTTGTTTACTTTATTAAACATTTCTTTTAATGTAAGTTGTTTAAGTTTTGCTTCGTTTCATGTGATAATACTTTCTCTTTAATTCTATTAAACAGACATAATTTCTTGTTCAGTTACAAAGTTCCGCTGTTCAAGTCCTATAATTGCTGTGTCAAGAACACCGACTAATTTGTCAATCGAAATTTTTTCGCTTTCAATAACCTCTGTTACTTTTTTTCGCTATCGGAAGCGAATTATAATGACCAGGAACTTGTTTTAAATCATATCAAAGACGGAGCATATCGAGATGAAATACTACATTTGGTAAGGAATTATAAGCCAAATAAAAACATCTGCGCTGAAGATAAGGATAGTGCTGACAAATCAACTTCCAATTCATTACGCGCCCGCCGCGGCGCGGCGTTCCCCCCCGCCGAGCAGCGTGAAATTGATAAACAGATTTCGGATTTCAAAACATACTTTCGCTTTTGATTCTTTACATATTAACAAATATATATCGGAAATTCTATTTGATATAATCGAAAGTTTAAGCTTACTTTTATAAAATTGCTCTTACAGTCTGCAAAAAATAATAAGCCGGATCCAATTCGAAAATTAAGGAACAACGCAATCATCAACATTAACTGAAATAGATAATTAGATAATTTTTGCTTATACGTCCATTATACATAAAACGCGCACGCGAAAACGTATTCTGCACTTGCGCACACTGATATGCGCAGTCGTAAAAGGTCTTAGGCGCACGCGTAAACGCCTATGCGCATGTGTCAACGCGGCGCATGCGCAGAAAGTTTTTAGTTTTGATGTCCGGATTATAGATCATTCCGAATTATGGGTGTCCGAATTAACGACTTTTGACTGTATACTTTCATATTGCAAAAACTAACAGTTAAGTGAACAAATATGCACTTTCTTTTAAAAATATCCTATATTAATTATTAATAATTATTGGTTATTTATATCTAGTAAAATAAGTAATATTATGTTATGAATTATATTACTATATGTATGGCATTCTAAGGAAATATCTTATCTTAAAAAACATAAGAATTGGATGAGAACATGCCAATATAAAATTCAGAATTAGCCAAAATGGTATCATTATTTTGGTGTTAATTTTGAATAAACTGATGGGCTTTAAAATTGATGAGAATTTTATTCAATCTCTGTGACAAAATAAGGTGGCTGTTTTGCATAGTTTTAAGTAATTTAGATCTATTTTTTTAAATGCTTCTCATTTTAAATTTTACAAATTTACATTTTCTTTGCTAACTTTATTAACTTCTTTCACAATACAATGTATTTTAGGTTGAAGTGAAATGGGATGTAGTGAATGCAAAAATTGAAGAGGAGTATCAAAAGGAAAGAAACATGACCCCATCCACACCAGTTTCACAAAGAAGGTATGTTCTTTAACAATTTAAAGGGGGGGGAGAAACATCCTTAATACTACACATTGCTAAGTGTTTTGCATAAAATATTTAGTTTAGTCTTAGCAGCTGTAACTGATTTAGAGAATGCTAGTAGAGAGGTACATTATCTGTTCAGATGAATTAAATCCTAAAGTGCATTTAAGGCGAGAAATCACTGGAATGCAAGAGAAAAGAGAACTGCAAATGAAATTCATCCATCTGTTGATAGGTCACCTTCAACATTCTTTGGTATATGTGAGATAGTGTTTGAGCTGCCTTCTGGCAACATGGATACTTTCACTGTCCTTGGTTCTGGAATCCCATGTTATACAAAATATGACTTATAGGATATGCAGAATTATATCATTATCAATTATTATTCTTTGCGAATGAAATATCACATTATGATATATGACATTCATTTCTAAGGTCAACCATAGATGATTGATAAATCAATATGAATCTCATCTGTTGGATGTCTGCTCATTGTTAACCCAGTAAAATTAATAAATTTGTGCAAAATGTATTTTTATCTCAGATGTTTTGGAATATAAAAATACATCAAGTTGCAGCAGCTTATCAGCAATTCTTAGAACATGATGTCGCTTCCAATGGCTGAAATACTTGTCAATAAAGCCAGTATAAGAAACATGGAAAAGTTAAGTGACATATTTGCACCTACTTTCTATATACTTTTATAACATTTTTCTAAGATCAATATATTATATTTGGATATTTATTGCTGTTTTATTCAGATCAGCACAAAAAATTCCATTTGATGTAAATTGATTTCATCATTGTTAAGATCACCTTTTTTTTATGCAGTTATTTTGTCCAAATGATTGTTCTTCCCAGAGTTTAAGAGAAACACTCAAAACAATATATTCTTTGACGGTCTGTATTAATTATATTTTAATACTGCAAATCTTTCATTGGAGCCTTTCTTATTGAGTTAGTTACTCTTCTAATTCTTAATTTAACTGCAAAACCAACCTGTATGGAAAACAGCTGCAATTTATTTTTTAATAATCAATCTAGTTTTGATACAGAATAGTTCAGGAGATTGATCTGAGAGTCTCCCACACCTCTTTCTTTACCATCAAGAGAATCACCTCTTTCTTTACCATCAAGAGGATTTTTAGCTTGCTAATATTTTAAGTGCCCTCATGGCATACAGACACTATACACATAGTACTTTTTAAGATTCAAACCTGGTTCCAGTAATATGGCAGCCAGTATCACTAATCACTAAACCAATTAGGGCTGCATTTTCTACAAGCATTAAGGCAGTTCGTTTTTCTTTTTTGATATTATATGTGTATGGTCCCTTTTTTTAAATCTTAAGCCATTAACCTTAGACATCGGATTTATTTCCTATATTTAAAAAATATTATTCATGAATGATATTTTAAGAAATTGGATAAATTTTCTTCTTCCTACATCATTCAATACTTACATTTGCACTTAATTCATAAATCTGTTAATAAAACAGTATTAGTACATCAGATATATCAGTTATATTTCAGTATTTTTTTTTAAATTCCAGATCTATTATGCATATTGATAACTGCAATCACTAATAGTTATCCCAAGATGATCATTTCTGTTAAAGGCCCAAAATCTCAGACTGTAAGTGTTCAGGTTAGAGAAGGTTTGCTGTAATTTCCAACCTTTTCCATTTTTGTAATTCTTATACTCTGTTTCAGTTTCAAAAGGGTTTAAAGAGTAAAATAAGACATGTGACAAATAACAGTAGTTTTATCAACAAAATTGTAAAGAATTAGAATTCTAATTTATGACAAAATAATTTAAGGAAAAAAGTTATGTCTTATTAGAGTTGTGTGTCTGGAGAACAAAGAGGTAATGGAAAGGAAGACTACAATCAATTTATCTGTTGAAAAAATGATCATTTCCACAATTATGTAACCACATTGACCAACGTGAATGTGTGCTATCTTGTTAGGAAACTACACTTTCATATCTGTCGATCTCTCACCATTTTATGCTGCTTTTGCAGAAGAGGCAAAAGCACAATACATTAACTTTTGGAAAATCATATTCTATCCAATATCCGCTTATGGTTCAAAATAAGCTGGTGTGTTTGTAGAGGGAAAAGAATGGGACAAAAGTGTCTGTAGAGGATGTGGACAGTGTCAGGGCACTCTTATAGTCCTAAGAAATCTATTCAGAAATCAAGTCTTGAACTTTAGTCGTGTTAAGAAAACATTTACACGTGTCCATTTTGCTTACAGTTGGTCCATGCTTTAAAGCCAGATGACTATGTATGTTTTAACTTTGAAAGTGAAGTGTTTGAGGGGGAAGATGACTTTCTTGATCATGTGTTCAGTGATGACTCAACTTTTCATCCAAGTCGGGAAGATAAATACCCATAATGTTTGTTTCTGGAGGTCAGAATTAACCGCTTCCAACATCAAGTGTACAGACGATTTTATTTCTATGAAGCTACCCTAACAGGGGTGGCTTATCTGGATATACTGCACAAATGGCTCTTTCCAAATTAGTAGAGGGTGAAACTGTAAACTTTACTTGGCAACAAGATGGAGCCCCTCCCTATTAGAATCTCTTTTAAGAAAATGGTTAAACGTCAGACTCTTGGGTTGTCCCAGACTCTTGGGTTGGTTGTAACGATCGAGACAAGAGAGATCTTTTTTGCTGGCCTCCACGTTCACTTGACCTAATATAATGCAACTTTTTCCTTTGAAGTTTTATAAAAGATCATGTCTACATTCTGCTACTACCTAATGATTTGACAGAGTTGAGACACAGAATTGAAGAGCTACTGCTTCCATTATTCTGGATTTGTTAACCAAAGTGTGGGAGGAACTGGACTATATGTTGGATGTGCACCATATAACTAAAGGTGCACCTATAGAAAATTAGTAAGAAAAACTTAGTTTACCCTCAATTTGATATATGATTTGTGATAAATAGGCATAATTAAATGGTTATAATATATCATTGAAACTGGGACATTCTTTTATGGATACCTGTACTATTAAGGTTTACACATTAACCCTCTGATGACTGTCTTCATCTTGTCATGAGATTTTTTTTAATTGGAATATATTAACTTATAATTTAAGATAAGATATCTTGCTGTCTTTAATAATGTTAACTTAATGAATGTAAGTTTATGAAAATAGAAAAAGTAATTATACAAGTTTGGCCAAGAAATTCTTTAAATAAGGGTATCCGTAACAGATCCAAAAGCACGCATCACTCAGAGAATTAATCGGTGGCAATAAAGCAGTAATATGAAATATTTGATTTTTAGTTTTTTTCTAGTGTGATTGCATATAAATACTAACAATTTATGACTCGCAACATAAGTTGATTTAGTAAAATTTTAACCTGGGCTTCTTTGAGGATAAAAAATATGTTAGAACAGTTATTTTAAATTTACTGTACACATTTAAAGATTTTAAAAAATGTTAATAATTTTTAAAACATCTAATTAGAAATAATTTTCCTTTCATTTCAGGAGCTCTCTTATGATATAATTTGGAGGACTTCTTGATAATATAAATGATATATACATTCTAGTCAATTTGTTTAACTGAATTAATATTTAAAAAATATTTTTAAGGCTATTTTTCATTTGTTTTCTTTGTATGTAAAAAAGAATTGCTAATAAATGTTGAACTTGCAGTTTATTATACCTTTTATTTTTCAATCAATTTTCAGTACTTTTAAGAAATAATATATTATTTGACAACGTATATGTATATATATATATGTGTGTGTGTGTAATGTTCAGTATGACAGTAAATTTAACTATCTCTTAAGACAGTTTTAAGTACAAAATCTATATTATCTATTGCTTAATTGCAAACAATTAGCATATTAAAAATTAACACAATGAGTACCAATGAGTTGATCTTCCTTTCTGTTTAAGGCCAGCAATATTCAATTTCATCAATAGCATCGGTAAAAATCTGCATAGAATCTGATAAAATAAAATATTTTTTTAAATTACACATTGTTAATAAACAGTGACTGAAATAACCCAGATGCTGCCTGAATAAGTATTTACATGTAAGATGCTGGTGGAAAGAATTAACATGTTAAGCACCTTGTCAGTTACTCGTGACTAACATAGTGCTTAATATGGTAGTAGTCAAAATAATTTGTTAATAAAAAAATTACTAAAAATGCGCATTGCTTTTAGAGTGTCTTAAAATATTAACTGATTTAAAATAAAACTTGCTCACTGACTACTGTAAATTTATATGGCATAATACTCTACCATTTTAAGCCTGAAAACCAAAAGTTAAGCAAGCATGCACTCAGAAACTGATTAACTTTGAAACAAAACAAAAAAAAAAAAAAAAAAAAAAAAAAAAAAACTCCTGAATATACGCAGCAGTCATGTAACAAAACTGATATAAAATGGGTGTACCATATCAGTAAACTGTATGAAGATGCCCATTGATAAGGCAAAGTAAAATAATGAATGTGAAGACAAGTAGAAAAAACTTTTTCAAACTGAAAACAATTACTATTAATAATGTGAAAATTTTATCATAAGTAAAAGATTTATCCTTGCAAATTTTACACTGTTTTTAATAATTCAGTGAGTGTTAAAACAATAAAGCTCATAGAAATTTTTTTTTTTCAATTTGCATTCGACACAAAAATTGTTTAGCATTTCAACTACATTAGCCATTTATATACCTGTGCCACTTAGGTTAAATGTTATTTTTTAAAGGTAATTTTTTTTTAAGTAATCGGTTTAACTAGAAGCCACTATGTTAAGAATGAAAAAAAAAACACATATATAAAAAAAGAAACAAAATAACAAATAATATTCTTTATTTCAACTATTAAACTAAAGCATTCACTGTACATGATTTACTACAATCTTGGACGAGGAATAAAACGGTAACTTATATGTTCTGTTTTGAACCATACATTGTCACCTGCATCTGGGTTGAAACCTGTAGCATATTTTTCACCAGGAATCTAAATTAAAAAAATTACAATTTTATTTCAAATAAAAACATCAAAAACAAAGTGAAAATAATAAAACCTAGTCATTATTTGTACTTTTCTCAATTCTGCACAAATTCTGATTATGCTTTATTTCATGAAGTAATGGTTTTCCTTTATCTAAAAACTCAATCTTTTAATTAGTTTTTAACTAAAATTTATTAAGAAACAACTTAATCTTTGCACATTATATTGCATAAAACTTTTGTGCTAGGAAATGGCAATGAAAACCAAAAATTATTTCTTAACATTATTTCATAATGTTGAGATGGATTAAATGCTTTGAATATTCAGGTCTGTGCACAATAATTTTAGCAAAATTATGACATCTGAAATTTATAAGCATCCATGTCATTAAAATAAAAGTCACTATAAACTAGTATATGCTACTATAAAACTTTTTCATGTGATAATACTTTACACTAATTTCATCTCTATCCACATTAAAAAATGCTGTCTAAAATCCAGCCATTTCAAAATTACTAGAAAAATAAACTACAAAAAATAAATAGGATTTTGTTTACTTATTCAAATTAAGATCATGATGATGATGATATTGGATTTTCCTAACTTTCCACTATAGCAGGCTTTAAGGTTAGGTTTGGTTTATTTAATTATGGAAAAGCACTCGAGGGCTATCTGCCTAATGAGAGGGATGCCTTTGTGGAAGACTTTCTAAGCTAAACAGCTCATACACATGCTACACATCGGGAAAAACATGAAAATTCCCATGCAGCCAGCCCAACTACTAGGATTTAAACCCTGGACCAAACAACCAGTATTAAGCGATTTTACCAATTGGCTGCTCGTAGGCAACAGGCTAAATTAATTTTAATTGTAGCTTATACTTTTGGCATGATTTCCAAATAAATTCATTTTAATTATATAAGATATTAAGAGAAGGTGGACTTTTTTTTCTTAATATTGATTCATGTCTTTTCAATATAAAATGGAGAATTTTATCAAAAGAGTTCAAAAATTCAGAAGGTCAGTTCTGTAAGAATAAAATTAAAAATTTCTTTACACAGCAAATTCCTATCAATGAAACATTTTTCATTATGCATTAGCAAATTAAAAACTTCCATATTTCTACTTGTAAAATTTGCTGAGCTATACAAGCATGAGTTTTGACTTTCAAAAAATTTTCTAGATGTTCCCCTCCTATGCCTATACCAATGCAATTCAATACATTTGAGAAGAAATTTGAGAAACAGCTACAGGACATAAATTTTGAATATCTTTAAGTTAATTAATTTTGAAATTCTGCTTCATTATTAAGTTTACTACTTCCTGTTCTGTTACAATTAGTTTCAGATGGTTAACAGAAACATGACAAAATTTTCTATAATATATGATTAGAATATTACACATATGAATGTGAAACAAATGTTTATTATCATAATGCATTAATAAAAAACTCTCCCTCTTAGTTTCTATTACATTTTATTCTCTATTTATATTGTGACTTTCCAAATTCTTTACTAGAGCATAAATTTCATTAAAGGCTATTTAATAAATATTAAATTCATTGCATCACTTTTTCCTATTTCCATTTTGAACCAAGACGCAAAAGTAAGAATCGTTGTGAAGTACATTAAACTCTGTATTAAAGCACCAGAATTATCAAGGGAAAAAGATGTATCCAGTATTAACAGAAGTATTTTGTTTACTTTTCTCAGTGCATGAAATTAATTATTGTAATTTTTAAACAGTGCACACGACATCTTAAAATGAGAATATTCAATAACATAAAGCTTTAAGCTGAAAATTACTTATAATTAGTTTATAATAATATATATATATTAGATTATAATAAAGTAACCTGAAAATTACTTTATTATAATCTTCTTACAGAACTTTTACAAAGGACTCTGTTTTGCTTTTACTAAAATCAATCCTTTTTATTCATGTCAATTGCACAGCATTATAAGCTAAACTTTAAAGCAGTTTATCATTAATTTCAAAAATTTATTAAAGTCAAATTAATTTGCACAAATAAAAATTCTGGCATGATTTCACTTTAGTTTTCAATAAAGCAGTTAATCCCTTGAGGTTCGGTTCAGCATACTCAATGCATATTCGAGAGGTCCAGGTTCGAGTCCTGACGAAGGCATCGCACATTTATCACGTCTGCTCCTTTAGAAAACCTAATGACTTGGCAGTGGCACCGAACTAAGCAATCGTTTGTCACCACCAGGATTTGGCGATTGGGTCCCCCTAATCCTCAGTTGCCCTTTAAAAGGGGGAGTATGTAATGAAGGTATGTTAGAAGGAGGAAGAAAGTGATGCATTTTCTTCCTCCTTCTAGCATACCTTCATGGTGTATGCCTATACCAATTGTTAGCACACTTGACATGTATTCGAGAGGTCCAGGGTTCGAGTCCCAGCAAGAAAATTCCTCTTGCTTCAAAAATTTTTAATGTCTCTACAACGCCTACTAAAAAAATTCTCTTCCAATGCCTGGCTTCAGTACATATGGGACAGCAATACTGAATATATCAAGGAACAGCGCTACAAATTCTTTTGCTCTTTTTCTTTTGTAACAACAAACTACAGTTTTTGCCACCATATAAGACGCACCGTCCTATGAGACACATTCCCTTTTTATACACAATTTTGAAGGATAAAACTTTATTGCTGAGCATTATAATTCCGCCAAGTTCTTATCATTTTCTCATTGGGGGTGGCCCGGAATGTCTCTCTGTAGCCCTGTTTCCATGTTCTTTAGCATACGCAATCACACATAGCTTGCCGACGTTGTTTTTGAGCCATAACTTGTCAACAAATTTAAGAAAACTGAACAATAGATATTTCACACACTTAAAAGTTGTTCACAAAAACTGGGACGTTTAAACGAACCCAACTGTGATTGTTGATGACAGCGCATGTGCATTCACTGAGTTCTATATAACTATAATATTCCCACATTCCGCATGGAAACAAGAAAAAAAAAAAAAAAAAAAAAAAAAAAAAAAAATCACATAACTCCAAATACGGAAAATTTCCAGAAATGAATACAATAAAAAACTGAGTATCGATGTATAAGACAAACCCAGTTTTTTAGACCTATTTTCAAAGGAAAAAAGTGTGTCTTATACGCAGGCAAATACGGTAATTCTCATCAAATTTCCTGATATCTTGACTTCATATATAAAAACAGTACAGGTTTAGTGTAACTTTTCTTGCTGCTTTTCCTTTTTTCCTTCATGAGGCTCAGAAATATTTAGAACAATCTTCACATTTCATATAATATTTTTTATAATACTGAATGAGCTGCTTTATCATCCAATCTCTGCCACTATGCTCAAGAGATACACGAGTTTGACATGAAATGCCAAAGAATCACTTGAATCATAATGCATATGATTTTGCATTTGTCATCTGAATTATTAATTTTTATATTCCCTGAATTTCAAGGATTAAATATTGTTGAATATTAACAATCATAATAAAAATAAAAGTATTAACATCTTTGTTTAAAAAAGACTGCAGTGAAAATTATGTTGTTGGATATGTAAGCAGCCAGTCAACATATCATATTTAGAAAACTATTTTGGAAAATAAAAGCATGTAAAAGATGTGCAGCTTGTGACTGGACGAACTAAATGTTTGGTGGGAATGAAAAAAAAAAAAAAATATTAAGAAATGAATGTCACACAGGTCTCATTCTGAAGCCTCTGTGGTTCATTACAGTTCATATCCTAGAGGTATTTAAAGTTGACAGAGGAAGTGGTGATGCCAGATCCATATTAGCTGCTGTGATTAAAAAAAGATGAGAGAAAAGGAGGGAAGAATGTTTTTTTTATCTGAGAACGAGAAATAACCACATAAATCAGTTAAATACCAATCCCAATTTAGTGGCTATGAAGAAAAACTAACTTGAAGAATTGAGCTGTGTTGAATATAAAGAAATCACTCCAGTCAAATCAAGGATCAAGTTCAAACGTTCAAAAAAAAAAAAAAAAAAAAAAAAAAAAAAACCTCAACAATGACAATAAAAAATGAGCTTGTTAAAAACAAAATTTTATGTAACTCTATGTTCTATTTTAGAAATCTTTGTTATAACAAAGGATTCCATTGTGTTTTTGCACACTGTATAATAAAAGTATTTTTATTTTACAATCTAAATGTCTACCATAAATTAATTTACCAAAAAAAATCTGATGTGTACACCACGACTTCTTGTACAGAATATTAAATTATACGCATTTTTCTTGCATTTCATTTAAACTTATTGGACTAAATAAAATTTACTTCGTTGATAAACAATAGAATAAATGCACTCTTTAAAATTCACTATATTTGTTTACCATACCTACACTCTGGCCCTAGGTTCACTTAACAGCATTACATTTCATTCATTTTTTTAACTCAGAATGCACAAAATTTATATCATCTTAATAATTATCTAATCATTGCCACATGTTCTATTCAAATATGAAAAGAAATTAAGCAAACAAAAAAAAAAAAAAAGAAAAGACAGAAACAGTTTTTCACAGACGATTCAGTATTTGTCATTCAATTAATTCAGTTTTCGCTTTGCGACAAGGCAAAAATACATAAAAAACTCAAAATATCTGTATTGAAAATTATGAAGTAAATCTTAAACACTTATTTCCTCGAATAAATTCCAGAATGGATTAAGCATGATTTAATTCACAATAATAAAAGAAGGCGTTATCTTTGTTATTGCCAAGCTTACTTTCTCTAAGTTGACAACAAATCTACTATTCTGCTGTTTCAAATGTAAACAAATATGTCTGCCATGTTATTTAAAAATTAGGCTTAACTGCATTTAAACAGCTTTTACGTTGTTAATAATTCTACAAATATTGCTTGCAGATTTCCTAAAGGCATAAAAACCTTAACCGGAAGATAAGAACAACATAATTCAATCATTTTTTAAGCAAAAAATGCACAATTTACAAACATATAAGAGTAAAGAAACTGAGATCACTGAGCCAGGTAACAGTGTGGATATATATATAAATATATTTATATACGTTTGGTGTGGCCAATTGCAACCAAAATACGAGGTGCACATCTACATGCTATAGCAATCCTATATACAAAATTTCAACGTTCTGAGGCTATTCGTTTTTGAGTTATACGAGATACATATGTACAGACAGACACCACGAAAATTCTCTTCAGAATTCATTTTAAAGCAGTTTTATAATTTTTTTGGAAGAAAAGAGTCTTTATTCTGTCCTTACGTACAGATGTCAAGCAAAAACATCGTTAAATTGCATTCGATAGTGGTCAAAATGGATATTTCGTTGAAATATGATACCTGAAATTTTTCGCGATTACAATACTTCCTTTTTACTTCGTACAAGGAAGTAAAAAAATAAATAAACTAGCTAATGTATGTAATTTATTACATGCTTTAATTGACTTCATTCATTATTTCATAAAATACACTAAGTGAATTACATATTTTAACAGCAACATATACACTGCTTTACATTTTATACGAGTTTTAGCCCAATAAAAAAATTAATCAGTAAAACTAATTTTTACTTTATGCCACAGAATGAGAAGAATGGTTAATAAAGAAGGATATTCCAAGTTTCTAGGCTAATAATAATAAATATGCTTTAAACTGTGTCCCTCATGTAAACTGGGATTCATTTGAAGGTGTCTCTTATATATATTTATTGTTTACTGATTGGAATACCAGTAAATTCTTGTTATTCAGTTTCTAATGGGATTATCTTTCTGCATTTTTCTGTTTTAATTTTTCAATTGTTTGCACTGTTTTAGTTTTTCTGGACGTTAATCTTCCAGTGAACTGTCTGCATTTTTATATTTTTTTTTCTCCCAAGTTTCACTTGTCGTATGAATTTTCCACATTGAAGTATTTGGGGATTTTCCTCTTTCCTAAGCATAAACACTTGTTCTTTTACTGTTCTTTTCATTCTCAATAAAAAACTATTTGTTTGAAAACTTGGCAACTTGAATTAAATAATTTTAAAAAAATAAACTGTAAAATTAACATATGAAATAAATTTCAGAAAGCTTACCCTTCTTATAAGATTTTCAAATTCTTCAACATCCTCTCCAGGGTGATAAAGTTCTGTGACTTTGGGCCTGAATATGTTTCCATAGTTCAGAAGTGTTATTTTATGCATGGTAAATCTACAAATATAAGCAAATCAAAATTTTAAAATGCTGCTAAATAAAGAAAACTATATATCATGGTCTTTATAAGAAAACAGAAAGATCTGCTCCATGTTCAAACCAGCTACGAGTTTGCAATAGTCACTTTTTCCATTACAGACAGTAAATGCATATCTATAAGCTTCAGAACATCTTAGATAAACATTAATACTGGGAAAAAAAAAAAAAAAAAAAAAAACAAATAAATTAGTGCTGATGGAATTTTATACTCTGAAAACTTTATCCGGTCATAACAAAAGTTTTCTGCCAAAATCTTTCATAATAAAGTTAGGGGGCAAACACATGAAAGCAATACCTTTAGTGCGTGTAGTAATCATCACCCAAATCTGTGATTTTCTGCCAATGTTTTGGTAGTTTTTCAAAGCCTTTGGCCCAGAAACTTAGTGGTAGCGAATCCAAAAACAAATCAACCTTATTTTGGACATCCTGTGCGGAATGAAAGATAGCACCAGCAAGATGTAGCTACAGGTGTGAAAAAAGGTAGAAGTCTGAAGGAGTGATGTCGGGGCTATATGGTGGGTGTGGCAAAAGATCCCATTCGACTCCAGCCAGTGACTGCAGACACATGTGGTCTTGCATTATCTTGACGGAACATTACCATTTTGTGCCGGAACTCAGTTCAACGTTTTTCCTTGATAACAGCATCAACACGGATTGGCATCTTTCTGTACACCTTACTGTTGAGGGTTTTACCCTTTTCCAGATACTCTTCATGGATAATACCATGACAATTCCACCGGATGAAAAGCATGATCCTTTTGTTAGTCAAACTGCATTTTGTGATGCTGCCAATGGGCTCACCAGGCACAGACCAACTCCCTTTTCGGCCTGTATTGTTGAAGTAAATCCACTTTTTGTCACAAGTGATGATCCGGTCCAGAATTTTGTCTTTGCGTTGATATTGGAGCAGATCAGTGCCAGCTTGAACATGTCTGTCCTTATCTGCTTGAATCAGCTCATGCAGCACCCAGCAATTGAACTTGTACATCAAGTTTATGCGATGCATAGCGTGACTAATGAACATGAAAACTAATGTCTAACTCCTTAGCAAGCTGCTAAGTGATTGCATACTAATCTTCTTCCAAAAGTTCTCGCAGGTGGGCCTCATCAACATTAGCAGGCCGACCAGAGCGCTCTGTTTCTTGAATGTCACAGTTGTTTTTGAACTTTCGGTACTAGACCTTCACAGTGTCATATGATTACAACATTAGTACCTAATCAGGGTTCGTACGACCTTAAGAGTCCTTAAAAGTCCTTAGATTTTTTGGAATAAAATTTTGGTCCTTAATTTTGGCCAAAATCGGCAGAAGGTCCTTAATTTTAATCATCTTAAATTTCTGTCTGTTTTTACGACTGCCATTTTGAATGTGAATTAGCATTTTGGAGGAATATTTTTGGCAATTCACTGACATATATGGTTATCTTTTGAATGGGATATAATTTGTTTCTATTTCTAATATAAATGATAGAATGCTTGAGTTTCTAAGCAGAAGTGAAACATAAGCATTTCGAAATTCATTTTTTCTAATAAAGAGCTCTTAAACAACTTTTCACTTTTGGGGATGTGAATTCTTTTATTAAACGGTTCTAAATTTGGCGATTTTAAGATCAGTTTCTATAGAAAATGTTTAATTCCGAGATCTGAGGATTTTTTGACGATTTTTTTTTAAAACCTCGTAACATTGATAAATTTTATTAAAATAATGGTAATATATTGAAATTATATTTAAAAAGTAACATGAAAATAAAACATTTTTATTTTTTGATGTTATATTATAAAGTTTCATTTTGGCAACTCATTGTACAATATTTTGAATTTGAAAAATAAACGAGGTATAATGCTATAAGACTGCGTTCAGACGGCGGCGTAAAGGGCATAGAGGCATAGTCATAAGGGTATAAAATACGGGAATTCCGTTCACACTTGCGAGAACGGGGTGTAAGCCGTGGCCAATGAGAGAAGCTAAATTTGCGCATGCGGGAATGTGTCTACAACTTTCCGATGCTGTTCTTGTGCTCGATTGATTTCCCGCGTTTGCTCTGCTTGTTTTGTAACAGCGAAATCTTCTGTAGAATGCCGCTTCGTTTTAGCTTCGCGCTGATTGGTCGCCGCTTATCCCAAACTTGGTGTAAAGTTGAAAACTTTGAACCCTATACCAGGAGCCCTAAACTAGATTTTGTGACATAGCACATACTGGTTGCCTTGGCAACGGAGCTCTGCTTTAACCATTTATGCCCTTTACCGAGACTTAGAAGGCCGTATCACTCCCCTCGCTATGTCATCTTACGTCACGATGAGACCTCTTGCGACTCGTAGCCTTGACCTTTGACTGATATGTTCACCAGCTCTCGATAGTCTTGGTGACCGTTCACCATTGCTGTATTTTTTTTTATCTCTTGTAGAAAATGTTTTTCTCTTCCTTTTGTTTTACGCTTACGTTTTGGATTAAACACACACCATGCCAGCTAGATGTTGCGTCCCTGGATGTAAAGGAAACTACAAAGGACAGCCCAAAGTGTCAATTTTTCATTTCCCTTAAGGGATCCAGATCTCCGAAAGAAATGGATAATGGCGATCCATCGAAAAAACTTCCAGCCTACGAAAGCTTCTAGGGTAAGAAACATATGTTTTCTTGATTACTGATTACAGTTTATCATACTAAATATCAATCTGCTCATTATATATTTTAATGCATTCCATATCATTCACTATATATTTTATCGTTCACTGTATTTATGCAACTGAAGGTATATAAGTTTTTGGTCTATAGAGTTTTTGGTCTATATAAGTTTTTGGTCTATAGGTAAGAAATATTTTCACAAGAATTAAGAGAAAAAAAAAAAATTAGCTGTATATTTTTGTGTGCAAAATGTAAGATGATTTGAAAATTTCAGTTGTCACCTTTCACAACTGAATAATAAAATACTTTTGGTGAACATAAATTTGTAATGAAAAAATTTATGATTATCCTAGTTATAATTCTAATCTTTTTATGAATCGTTAATTTTAGAAAATGTTAATTAAATCGTTAAATAATTTAAGTATTGTAACTAACAAATATTTAGAACATGCCATAGCAATCTAGAGTGATATTGACATAAGAGAACTCCAATATTAATTATAATATATATTAAAAATATAGCATTTTAGGCCCAAAATATTTTAAAACTTAGTTCACATAAAAACTGAACAATTGATGTCTGTTCTCAAATTCAGTAATAGTTAAAAGAGACCAATTGTAAAACATTATGAAGTACATTAGTCAAAACTGTATTTATAATTTAAAAAATGTAAACAAAAGAAGAAAATTTCCATTAAATATATTCTTGAACTATAATGATAAATATTTTAAAAGTATATGTTCACTAAAATTTAGCTTCGAATTTAAGCTAATAAAGAATCTGGACAAAACCATTAAATTTTAAAATAAACATATTTTGTATTTTTGTTATAAGAAGTAATTTTTTTTTTACTTACTGATTAATGAAAATTTTTGATTTTCAATTAAGCTAATATTTTTTACTTAAATACACTTATTCTAACATTTTAGAAAGGTTAAAAAAATTTTTTTTTTCCTTATAGAATTTTTATGAGGATTCTAATTGTCTCTTTTATTTCATTAGGTCTGTGAGCTTCATTTTGCTGCATGTGACATCGAAAGAGTTTCGGAAATCTACGATGAAAGAACCGGCAGAAAAGTGACAGCAGTTTTACAGCATCCTCGTCTAGCATGCAATGCTGTTCCTACAAAACTTCCTAATTGTGCGGTTTATTTGTCGAAACACTGTAAGAAAAGAGAAAGTTTTGACTGCAAGAAACAAAGATTGGAAAACAAGGCTTTAGAAACTGCAATTACTGAAAGCATAAAATCCAAAGAAGACTATGACAAAAAAAATGACATTTACTAGTCTTTCTGAGCTCTCTGAAAAGTTGTGCTTAATTAGTTTGCCAGAACAGTGGTCCATCATTCAGAAATCGGATATTATCATCTTTGCTTTGATAACTTTACGAACTGCACCATGTATCGTAGCATCAGTAGTGGTGACTGAAGGGTTTGATTTAAATATTTACATTGAAAGCATTCAAGCAACAAAGTTAGGAAATACTGTCATACCTAAAAACATAAGTAACTGTAATGATGTTACAGCAGTTATTGAGAAAACAAATGCTGTTTGCATAACACATGACCAATGTAATAATGGACACACCTTAGAAAATATTCTAAATTTTGTTATAAAAGCATCATGCAATACTTTTCTTAAAAACTACTGTAATCAAAAGAATGATGTGCTGAGAAATACTTTAAGGAAACGAAAGCTTCAAACTCTTCTAGTAAAATAGATAATTTGTGTTCAGTTCAAATAAGGCTTTAAGTTTATGTAACTGTTTGGTAAGTTTTATTTATGCTTGTATAAAATGTTTTAAATATTAATGAAACATATACATATATTTTTATGGCAATTTGAATGAATTATTTATTTTGTTGCATTATATGCAAACTTCATGATTTAATGGAAATCTAATCTTTAATTAAACATATAGATGACTTAAATATATTTTAATCGTATTTTACGATTTCTGGTTACAATTGAAAAGAGAAAGCACTGTTATTAGTTTTGATTAGTGTGATTAAGAATGATAGATAAAGATGTATGAGGTAGTACTTGTGTACCCATAATATTTGCAATATTAATATGCAAATTATACATTTAATTTTTACTAATTAAGTTTTTTTTTCTAAAAAATAAGCATAAAGAATTTGCAAAGAAATATTTATAAAGTAAGTTTAATTTCAGTTTTACTAATATAAGTAATATGCTATTTGCATTATTATGATGATCAACAACTTATGATACCATGCGAATTTATTATAGATGTGAAAATGAATTCTTTATTTCAAATTAAGTTTTATTCTTTTTCTAGAAAAATTAATTTGATTTAGCAAAATATTTTTAAA